AATTAACTATGCTTTAAAGACTAAAATTGTTCAGTTACATTCCTAAAACTAACAATTCTGAAAGGGCATCATCACAGTACCTGCAGTGAGTTTGAAGAGGCACCCATAACATATAGCCGACTTGCTTTTGCATCCACATAATTACATCTCAGAGATGCTATAGGAATTTTGTCCAACTTATAACCAAGATTAAGCTTGCATAAAGGACCACTTCGACTGCTATTCTCTGACACTGATTCAAAATTTTGATTTTGGCCATAAAGAATAGCCCATACTAGAACTTCTCCATTGCTATACCCGACAGCAACTTTACTTCCTAAAGGGCAAACCCAACATGCAGAAGTCACCTTCTTTGCTTCTTGATATGATGATAGCTTGGTATGTCCACCCGTGATGAAAATAGATTTGGATTCTTTAATTTCCCACAAAGTAATCAAGCCATCATTGAATATTAGAAGCACTCTACAAGATTAGAACAAAGATGACAGTGATAACCTTTAATTTTAACAGTTATAGCAGCGTAAGTCAAGGCCATGGTATCTTGCATTACCTCTTGAATTCAGCGGTCGGTTGTGGTAGTATGTGGGTTATATAAGTGTCACTGGTAACTTCAGCTGGATTTCCTGAATAAGATGATCGGTATAAGACCTGTAGTCATGTCTATAAGACCTCACAATCTGAACATGTAGCTATGTCTATAAGATCTCACACAATCTGAACCCTCCCGAGAAGACCTTAATGGGGACACTTAAATCATTATGTAAAAAAACTAAGTTATTTTTCAACAAAATTGTAAGGAACGTTCAAATTTGATGAATTTGACACATATGTTTAGTAAAAAAAACCAACCTTAAATACTTTCATTTTTGGGCCAATTTCGAGTCATTTTCCATAAGTGTACCATTGCCACTTTTTTCCAATTTAAAACGAGGGTCATGTTCATGAAAGTTGTTTTCTCATTTTAGTCTCTTACTAAATTCATTAATGATTGTACTAAGAGTAACATAAGGAAGAAAAAAACATGTAGTCATGTCTATAAGACCTCACACTCACAATCATCTACTTTGATTGAATTATAAACAAATTGTAGGAAAGATGCAAACATAATGCAGAGATGGAATGAAGAACGAAAAGGGTCTTCTCACCACGTGAGGCTGAAACAGGTATGATGTACTTCATTTGTATTATGTTGCAGAGACTTTGATCAAGCTTTAAAATTGAAACATTACCGAGATAATCTCCAACGTAACTGCAAGTTTTAGTAACAGAGACCCCTCAATACAGACTTAAGGACAGTAACACGCCCAGTAGAACAAACTTACATGTATGAACTCTGTTGCAAGATCGTGAAAGAGGTGATTTCTTCGTCGTAAGCATGCACACGTACCAACAACTTCCTGTCTATATCCCATACCTACACAAGCAGGGGTTGTCAATGCAAATGTTACATTATATTGGAGACAGATTATAGCCTAAATACCTCAATTTGGTTCTTTGGAGTAACATTTAGAAGAAATCCCTGATTCTCCATGAACTGAAAATGAAAAACCTCAATATCTTAAGAAGTTATCTTATCAGGAAGCTCTTGAAGGGTAAATGTTGAACAAAAACAGATACAGAACTGAAAAGATAAGAATCAGTATATACTTGCAAAAACTTGCTAGGAAGTGCCTCCTTAGACTCTAGTAGAGCCTGAGAGTTATCTTTTCCAAAGAGCTTAATCTGACCATATCTACGAATAACAATATGCATTGAAAGTTAAAACATTCAATTATTTCACCAATGAACAAACTGAAAATACAGGTAAATGTCGAGATTATCGGGAGGGAGTCCCACGTTGACTAATTTTAGCTAATTTAGAGTAACGAATACATCACCATTGGTACAAAGCCTTATGCTCAAAGTAGATAATATTGTATCCTTGTGGAAAGTCGTAATTCTTAACGGTAAATGGGTAATTAATGAAAGAAGAAATGGAAACGTACCCGGTAGAAAGAGCAAGTATCTTTTGGATGGAATCATAAGCAGACATGGTAGAGCCTGATGGAATGCCATAGTGGAAGGCAAGACGAGGCTCCACCTCGCATCCTTTCAAACCATCAATGGTGCTTCCTGGCTGCATCACAAACATGCCAATTATAGTAATTAAATTAAATTGTTCATCACAAACATACTTTTATCATTCTAATTAATTATACTTATTTATTTTTAGTAATTAAATTAAAAATTTTAATTATCAATATTACTTTTAATTAAAGTATCAATAAATATATTTTAAGTGATTAATTTATTAAACTGTATATTAAATAATACTAAAAAAGTTAAGCTATGATTACCACAATATATTCATATTAATTAAATATATAAATTTAAATTAATAAATATACTAATACTACTGTAATTATTTAATTTTGTTCTATATTTACAAAATTGGTAAAACAAACACAAACATTAATTATCATTAATCTCAAATATTTACAAAATAATTTTGGGCAAGAAACACTTTCCTTTACATTTAATTTTTTTTTAGAAAGTTTTACAAAAATGGAGTCCCATTTAATTAGTTAGCACTCTAGAACGCCTTCATTTCTAATAAATTTTCAAACTATTCTGTTCTTGAATTTTTGGTAATTTTCAGGACATTAATTTTTTTTAAAAATAAATAATTTATTAGATTGTGAAACTAAATTTTATAATTCAACATTTTTAGAGGATCTCTATATTTTTTTATTTTACAATATTTTTATTTTTATTTTAAAAATTGGAGCTATAATATTTCCCATTCGAAGTATACTAAATTCTTTAAATCTTGGACTATTTAAAAAATCTTGTGACACAGAGTATTCCTATTTTACCCCGCTAAAATTTTGATATTATTTTTCTCTTTTTCTATTTAATGATTTGTTAGCCTCGCCTTTATTAATTTTTTGATAGGTAACAAATAAAAATATAAAAGAATGAGAGAGATTTTTTTTTTTTTTTTTTTTTTTTTTAACCAATTTTCAAATTTTTGGTGGTAAGAAATATTCTTTTGGTCAAAAGAGAGGCATTTCTTTATAAAATGAGAAAATATTTTATTCTCAATCAGAGATTTAATTATCACTTTTTTTAAATAGAAAAATATTTTTTTAATAATATTTTAGGGTATAATAAATATAAAAAAAAAACTTGAAATATGAATTAAAATATTTAATTGTTCAAAGTGGAAAAAGAATTCTCACCAAAAATATTTTAACAATTTTTTTTACAAAAAAATATTGAGACTGAGGAAAGGCGAAATAAATGGTAAATAATAAATTTACGAAAGGCAACGAACTATTAACAAATAAATCCCCTTCGCCAACTTTTAAAATGTCTCGTACTGTGTCACACAAGAACCCAAGCGTCGCCAATAATACGACAATTGGATTCTATTTTCATATAAACAACTCAACCACGCACCAATTTCTTCTTCTTCTTCGACTCGATGACCTTCGCCCGATTTGCAGCAGCGAAATCGAGGAAGGATAAAACATGAAACGCCTCGCATTTGAAATTGGCAACAAATCTTAGAGATTCAACTCCTACATCTAGACTTTCCGGATAAATTTCAAGGTCGCAACGATTTTCAAATTTCCCACGCTTTCAAGAAATAAAAAATCGGTAAACAAAATTAAGATACTGAACTTCGCATTCGTCAAACTCCGATCAATTTTATACAAAAAAGGTCGCTAAAGCTGAAGAAATTTCAATTCAATTCAATTCGAGCTTCCGTTTCTTTCAAACCTCGTATATTCCGCAAAAACAAATCAAATCCGAAAAAAAACGACGCAGAACGACTTAATCGAAGCAGTAATAATCAGGCAACGAAGTTAAAAAGCATTTAGAGATCAAAAGAGTGCGATCATTTTCAGTATTCAGTAAAGGCAATCGATCAGAAGAAGAGGAGATAATGAACGGAGTGGAAAGAAATTAAAGAACGACTTACCTTCCGCGAAGCCTTCTCAACGAGTTTCTTGACAAACATCTCGGCGATTGCGAGAGCTCCAGCCGCTGAGAATCTGAGTGAAGGATGATAAGTGAGATCAGAAGAGAGGACTGAAAATGGAAGATGAAATCCGCTTTGAGATAACCGACGAAGTTTCTTTCGAGCAGAGAGAGGAAAATGAGTGGGACAAAGAAGAAACCAAGTTTTTTTCAAAAAGCACAAAAGGGAGGTTTGGATCATCTGAATGGGACACGTGTACGTTGATTAGGTAGCCCTGAAAACGACAGGGAGGGAAGAGAAGTTATGAAACGAACGCCTCTGACGAGTTAAAGAAAGCCACGTGGATTTATAAGTGGGTCCCATTCCACCGGCTCTGAATTCTGGTTGACCACGTGGCTAACTGAATACTTTTGGTTGCTTCTTCGAAAATAAAAAATATGAAGCTATTTTAAAAATAAATAAAATTTAATTTTGTATGTAATAAATAAATAATAATTAATATAATAATTTTGGTAGAATATTGGTGGTAATAATTGAAAGGGGGGAAAGGCGTTGAAATATTAAAGATTTGGAATTATTGGAAATGGAATTTCACAACCCTCTTTAACCATTTGCTTTATTTGATTTATCCCTTCAAGTCGGTGAACTGGACTACCAAAAGTGTTATTATTATTATTATTATTTTAATTTTTTATTTGGGATTTATTTATATTTGTAATTATTCCATTATTTAGTGGAAAATGACCATTTTTTTTATAATTAGATTATGTAATCATATAAAATAAAATTTTATTTATAAATATTCTATGTTTGTGTGTATTTGGTCTAAATTTTACCATTAATACGTCGCTTAGGAATCACGATAGAATGGGAGCTTACCAATGATGGGCTGGGCTTATATTATTGTCTGAAGGCCCAATAAGCTTGTAGAATTGTTGGGTCCGGCCCAGTTAGACTAACAAACTTCTTTTGCTTCGTTTGTGAAAGACTCAAAACTAGTCAACTGAAATTACTCTTTTACCCCTAAATTATGAGCTTCGTTTGATCCTAAGATTTCTCTGTCTTCTTCTCTGAATTTCATTTTCACTGAACTTTCCTATGCAATGCTGTGCAATTCACTTCGTTGTTCTTCTGATCGATCACTTCGGAGGATTTCAATTGAGCTAATTGGTTAACGAAGCAGGCGTGGTTTCAGAGGTCGCGTTTTGTTTTCTGTTTTGAGAGTAACTTTTGCGTACTCATTGCGGAAGCTTCACCACTCTGGATGATTTTTTTTTTTTTTTTCTTTTTGTGATTGTGTGAAATCGTTGTTCTCATATTATGTTCTAGGTTGATGGTTTTGACAAAATGAAGTGATTAGTGAGTCCATTTTTCGGAGAACTTCTTGTTTGCTACCACGAATTTCCTTCAAGCCTTTCAAACATATGATATCTAACCTGTTCTTCATTATATGGATCTTGCTCTGGTCGTTCTCCGATTTCTGGAATAGTTGTGCTTGTTATGCTTCCTGGTGATCTTTTTGTTCATAGTCGAGCCATTGAATTTCTCCGCTTACTGATTTCGGTAAACCAAAATCTCAGGAAAATGAGGAGAGATTTTGGTTTGGATTTTCTAATTGGGGCGTACTGTTGATTCTGTAGCTCATATTCATACATGATTTTATTCTCATGCATCCTCCGAATCAAATTCTTCTAAGCAGATGCTGATCGATTGAACAGCGGTTAGAAGATGGGAAAATCACGCCGACGGGAACACCCTCAGGAGGAGGAATTTGAAGCATGGCAAGCTGCAAGGTTTAGGGAGTGTTCAAGGGTTATTGAAATTAGTAGCATGAATAGACTGTCACTTGCTCAGGAAAACCTTGTCAAGAAGATGATGGCACTAAATGCAAACGAGTTTGCATTTAGTGCCAACTGTTGTCATGAACTCTGGAGAGCGCTACCAACTGTAACTATAGTAAACTTCAAATTGGCATTACTAGCTATTAACATGTCATTCTTTTGGTCACCGGCATATATCAATTAATTAAACGTATGGGATTGATATCTGAGTTCAATTATTTGATTACGATTATTTTTTACATTGCAGAACTTAGAAGACAGCTGAATCAACTTGATTCGGGTGATATTGAGGACAAAGTGGAACAGCAGCCTGCTGAGTCTGAAGTCACAAAACTTGAAGATCCAGTAGAAGCTTACATACGAGAGCCTTCTTACTTCTGAGATTCCACATCGGTTGGAGAGGGGAACGAAACATTCTTTATAAGGGTGTGGAAATCTTTCCCCAACAGACACGTTTTAAAACCTCAAGGGGAAGCCTGGAAAAGAAAGGCCGAAGAGGACAATATCTATTAGCGGTGGGCTTGGGCCATTACATTACGGTATGTATCATGGATCAACTAAGAACAACTTTTTCGTGAAATAGCGCAGCTACGAATCCTATCAGCAATGCGATATTTGAGGAAATGGAAGAAGCTTACAGAAAATCAGAGACAAAAAATGAAATTATCGGAAAGGAGTAGAATGATATGAATGTAGATCACAAAATATTATTTGATCTTCTGAATGGAGCACTTACGATTGTACTTGCACCAAGTTTCACATTGTGTGGATTTAGAAGAAAAGTTATTAACTCCTCTTTGCCACCGCTGCCTTTGTTTGAAAAAAAATCTATTGGATTCTGTATGGGACAACATCCGCAAGTTTATGCACTCTCCAACTGATAGATTTAAATTCAACACCATGGTCATCATTAATGGATGATGAGGTTTACACAACTGGAAGGGAGGTTGAAGGTCTGATCATCAAGGAATTGATCGAAGGAGTTGTGAAGGATTTGCAGAAATGATGCTGCAGACTGCAGAGTCTTAATTCTCAGGCCACTGACCTCGTGCTACTACTTGGAGTGGACACAAATTGCATAGAAATCAAATATTGAGGATACCGTACTTGATATTCACTTGAACTATACTTTCTTTTCTTTCTTTCTTTTTTTTCTTTCTTGTGTTACTTTTACATGCATATGTTCTGTGTTACTTTTACATGCATATGTTCTTATTGGATTTGTTTAATGCAGAATGGCTCTTCCGAAGATCTGTTATAGCCCAAACTCATTGCTAGCACTTTGGCTCGTTACATATCGCTGTCAGTCTCATGGTTTTAAAATGTGTTTGCAAGATAGAGGTTTTCACACCCTTATAAAGAATAAATAATTTTTTGTTCCCCTCTCCACCACAATCCACCCTCTTGGGGGGCCAGCGTCTTTGCTGGCACACCACCCGGTGTCTTGCGCTGACACCATTTGTCAACAGTCAAGCCCATTGCTAGCAGATATTGTCTACTTTTGTTCATTACGTATTGCCGTCATGCTAGAGAGAGGTTTTCAACTCCCTTATAAGCAATATTTTGTTCTACTCTCCCACCGATGTAAGATCTTACAATCTCTTATGGCTCTTTATCTTATATTATTATAACTTGTAAAGGAAAGTTAACAGGATGATTTTCTCTGCAGTTTGTGCACGACTCTTGCCTTTGTCAGTCTCTTGTAATATCCAGTGTTGCCGCTAGTTCAATGTTCAATTGCTGCTGACAAAAGGTACAAACTTGTACAAAATTTATCCACAAACAATTGAATTTTATACGTCGTCTTGCGTGTATTTATTTCTTTTACCCTCAACGAGAAGATTATTTTGTTTGATTCACAAATTTATGAAGTCTATGTTTATAAAGTTTAGACATAGTTTATTTGAGTATGTATAACTTGGGTTTGGTTGGTAAATTGTTGATTGATAATTTTCACATGTGATTTATAAAATGTGGGTTTCATAAGTCTGTTTGAGATAAACGTGCTCATGCACATACGAACTAACTAAATATTACATGACTCTTGATTTCTGAATTTCAGGTTATACAAATCTGTGTAAGATTAACATGCTTTGGACGGTTAGAAATAGAATTCTCTCTGTCAACTAGGTATATATATGTAATGGTTTAAGTCCACCGCTAGCAAATATTGTCTTCTTTAGATTTTACTAAGCAAACCCACACCATAAGTTCTCGAAGATAGCCGAAAGAATGGGTCAAGCTCACTATTGGAAAAGTGGAACTTTACCAACTGAGATAGCCAATTCCCAGATACCAAATTGTGGGTCTATGATGCTTCATCATGACTTAGGTAGCCAAAACCCAACCCAAAAGACCAAAAGATTAAACTTCAAACACAAATAACTTGTTTAAAACTTTTAGAAGGTAGAAGTTACGGTATGATATTTAGAATTTCAATTGAAAATTTGAGACCTAGAGGGGTATGAATGAAAATTTAGATGATCACATGGCTGTAAGTCACTACCACATTATTCTAAGTTTCAATTCTTTTGTGAAGGCCGAAAAAAGACTGGTTAAATCTGTACCATTTTCCATTTTCTATGACACTAATTAGATTATTCCCAAATGAATTGAATCAATTGGTTGGTTGGGGAATCTTTTGGTTTGGATAAGTGTGTGTTGTTGCAGTCCCATTTCCATTTCCATGTAAATGGAAGGAATTTGGTTGTTCTCTAGAAGTGTGTGTTCTTATGTTCACACGGTAAATAGGAATGGATGATTGGTGGTGGGGAAAGGGGAAGTAGTGTTATGGCCACCCTCTGATTTTGACCTGCCCGTTAGGCTTAGTGGTGGAGCACATGCTCTGTCGGCTAATCATCCTTTGCTTTCTCTCTTTGTTCAATTAATCATATTTATCCTTCTAATCTCTCTCTCTCTCTCTAAATTCTTACTTACTTTTAATCTCCTCTTCATTACACTTTAATTAAAATTACAACTTTAATCTCCAAAATTCTAATTTTTTTTTTTTATATTTATTAGGGCCCAGAGAATGATTTCTTTGTTATTCTCGTATTTAAATGCAAACAAAAAAGATCTAGAATAGACCACTTCTTAAAAGGTTTATTTTTTACATTACCCTTTTTTTTAAAAATTCTATTTATTATTGAGAGAAAATGAAGGATAATATGAAATGATTTTAAGGGTTTTGTATTTATGTGCTAAATGCAATTAATGGGGTAATAAGTCATCTAATTAATAACACTCTCACATGCATATTACAAATCAGACAACGACCCTGCATGTGTCCACGTTTGAATTATCATTTCTTTATTTTTATTTTTATTTCCTTCACACAAAAAAATAATATTAATTTTTATTTTTCAGGACAAGAAGACCATCAATCTCTGACACAAATGAAAATCACCCTCCTCCTTCACTGTCAAAAGCTGCAGAATTTCCGACATCTTCTTTTTTTTTTTTTTAATCTCCGCCGTGATGTCCACCGCCGGCTGCCGTAACAGACAACACAAACTTTCAGAATAACACGTCAAATTGTCCAATCCTGACTGGACCGGCGGGTGCTCTCAGGGTGGGACAGTGCCAGAGCTAACTCAGACTGGTCACCTCTCCTCCACCGGTCCCTCCGGTTGCCCTTTCCCTCTCTAAATTTCACCCTCAATTACCCTCCAAATTAAATTGTCCTTAATTCCTTTTCAATTAAGATCCGAATATTTACCATAAAGGGTAAAAAAATCAAATCCGAGGTGGATTTGATAGGGATGCCTTCTTTTTTTAAATTAATTTTACAAAAAGAAAAGTCCATAAATTTAAATAAAGATCTCATTCGCCCACCTAATGAAAATGACTCTAAATAGTCTTTTTTTTTTTTTTTTAGAATCTTTCCCAATATTTTATTAATTAATTATTAATTTTAGCATAATTTGCTTTATTTCCCAGGAATTAATTTTAAGGTTGACCCCGTGATCTATACCACCATCTAATCCCGAGGCCATCTCCAATTTCATTATACATAAATATATATATATATGTATGTATGTATGTATGTATATTAATCATAATTTATTTATTTAAATTAATAATTAAAAATATATTTAAAAATTAAGCGTAAAAAATACATATTTATATAATAATTTAATAAATGAATAATTTAGAATTGGGTCGCTCTCCTCTTCCCGCATATTTGTCTGTTTCTTTACTTTCCCGTTAACCGTCCGCTTTTCTCAGCCTCTCTCTCTCTGATTTTTCGTTCTTCTTCTTTCTTCTTCTTCTCTCTCTCAGAAATTTTGGAGCAGAGATTATGATGGAGTGGGAAAAGGCTGAGCACCAACCTCCGTACCACCACCAGAACCCTCCTCTTCGAGACGATCACCTCCATCATCTCACCGGAACTACCGCCGGCGCTCTCTACGTCAAAGTCATGACCGACGAGCAATTGGAGACTCTTCGCAAGCAAATTGCTGTTTATGCCACCATTTGCGAGCAGCTCGTTGAGATGCACAAGACACTCACTGCTCACCAGGATCTCACAGGTGCATCCAATAATGCTCTTTAATTCATTTCTTCTACTTTTTCTTTCAATCGAATCGCATAATTAAGGCTTAAACCTAGTACGCATGTGTTGTAGATTGGAGTATTAGATTTTTTGGAATTTCCTCTTTAATTTCTTCTCGATCGATCGTATTCAATTTTGATTGCTGGTATGAGCTCTCTCGCGGTTTCTTTTTTCTTTGGAAAATCGTGCAAATATTTGGTCATTTTGAGCTGTTTGTTGCCTCGAAGTAAGGGCAAACATCTAATGCTGTAAGACTACTACTGGTTTCCCTTTTCGCGATGCTATCCAACTTTTTTGTGGTCCTTTTGGCTGTGGTAGCCCTGCCGTAAAGTAACTATTTCCCTCCTCCATTGTTTGCAGGATGGCCATCTATGATTTAGTGATCTACTTTAAAGAATAAAAAAATAAAAAAAAATATATTCATGTGTTCTTAAAACTAATTCACGAGCATTCTTGGAATAAGTTACATTTGTTAATTTGAAATTAAAAGCAAAAAGTAATCGTCATCGCCGTTAATCAAACGGGGTAGATGTATGTTCTTTAGCAATTGAACAAGCAGTTCATTCAATTCAAGTATATTTGTAAAGTGAATTAGCCAGTTTTGATAATGATATTAAGGGTTTTTGGAATAAGATGGTTGTGGCGGTATGGCTATGACTTCTTAGAGACAATCTGATGTGCCTTCTCCATGCACTTGCTTAAAGCTTGTGTCCTGCTGCTTTGCAGGAATGAGGTTGGGTAACATGTACTGTGAGCCACTGATGACATCTTCCAGCCACAAAATCACTTCTAGACAGCGATGGACTCCAACCCCTGTGCAACTTCAGATCTTGGAGCGCATATTCGAGCAAGGGAATGGAACTCCCAGCAAGCAGAAAATCAAAGAGATCACCTCTGAACTGGGTCAGCATGGCCAAATTTCTGAATCTAATGTCTATAACTGGTTCCAAAACAGGCGCGCTCGATCGAAGAGGAAGCAGCAAAGCACAGCACCCGCCTATGGCGAATCAGAAGTGGAGACAGAAGTCGAGTCGCCGAAAGATAAGAAGACGAAACCTGTGGATTTTCAAACTCATCAAACTTCTGCACCTTTGGGGGATGACATGTGCTTCCAGAGTCCGGAGATGAGTTCTGAACTGCATTTCCTGGATCCAAACACCAACAAAGCTGATACTTTGTTTTCAAATGGAAGTTTAAAAACTGCAAGAAGTTTCAGCCAGATGTCTTTTTATGAGGGTATGGCACAATAAGAGTTTCTTGTCACTCTTTCATATGTTCTATTACTAATCTTTTGCCTGATATACCCAACTTTCTTGTCATATTATCTTGGGAGGATTCAGAAAACGTGCTGAATGAGTTGCCATCTTGCTATCTCTAGATACACATACATTAAGAAGATCTTCATTTGAATATATGATTTTGTTTTTGATAGCAGGAAACGAGCAGCTGACAGGAAAGATTGAAACGCCAGAGGACTATAGTCTTTACCAGCAAGCGGAAGGCTACAGCATGACCGAAGGACCCTGAATTCTTTTACAATTAACACTAAGTGTATTGGTCTTATTAAGATTATGCTGGACTTCTTAGCCCTCATGTGAATGCATTTAGTCTAGTATTGAAGGAGACAGGATGACGACGACAATGACGTATGATGCTAACTTGTGTGCTCATGTCTTGTCGTGGATTGTTGGAGTATTCAGTTTTGAGTAATGTATTTTGGTTGAATTGTGATTGGAGATGAGCATTGGGAGTTGATTGGTTGATTGAACCATTCAAGGAGTCTTGTGAGTTTGTTAAATAGCCCCTCGGAGGAGAGGATGTATGGTGTCCATTTGTACAAGAAGCTGTTTGTATTAAAAAGATCGATTGCTAGGTGATCCTGATTGTTTGAAAATCTAATTCTTTTGGTCGATAATATATGTCAATTGACAAAAAGGCATCTGGCCATCTTACCAGACTTATATATCACTGTATAATAATTGGTCAAATAAGTCGACCTTTTGTTCTTTTTTGCATATGTTATTTTAGCACAAATCAAGGTTGCATTGTCCAAAATGAATTTCTAAATCTACATATTTATCAAACATCGAAAAAACCAAATTTTTGTTGGCAATTCTCTAATTTAATTATGTATGATCACAAAATTATGAATTTTTTTTTCTTATTTTTGTTTATATTATTTTTCTATCGTATTTCGGGAATGACTTGTACCCCATTACTAGTCATAGTATGAATATTGTGAGGAAGACTATTTTACCTCTTCTTTATTTCTTTGGTCTATTCAGTTCTATATAGTCGATAGACGTAGAGCAATTACTTGAATAAATATAAGCAAAAGAGCAACTCGAATCAACCAAATTTCATGAACTATAAGAAAGAACAACAAATATTATCTAAAATAAACATATTTTCCACACAATCATATGACATCTCGTTATCATGTACGAGAATATGTATTACAGGAACTCCAACATCCTGTGAAAGAGAAACCTTATATAATTCAGTGATCGTATTCCCGACTTTGCCGCTCCTGTACCAAAATTTGGACTCAATCGACTTGAATTTCGCCTCCAAAGTCACTTACCTCAGCTGTTCTGACAGCATTTGATGGGCCAACATCAAAGGCATCAGCAATACTGATGGGATCAATCGACTACTGCCCCGAATTCCCCAGTAATCGTTCAACTGCAGCGTGGATATTTCCTGCAGTAGCAATCAGTGCTCGTATGTTCTCCTGTCTGTCAATGAATCCCATTTCTTGTAGCTGTGTAAGCTGTGTAGAATACAGTTCTTCCGGCGGTACTGTCCAAGGGAATGCATTAAGTGGAAAGTAGATGAAAATAAAAGGACAGTAAAAAAAAGCATTACCCTTGCCATTTCATAAAAGTTTCAAAATTATTCTTAGAATACCGCATTACCCTTGACCTTTCACAAAAGTTTCAAAATTACTCTAAGAATACAAATCCTATTAGAATGTTAGGATGAAAATTAAGATTATAGTCCATATGATCCTCAAATGGATATTGGGACTGAACACTACCACACCAGTTAAAGGTCCCAATTTCCATCCAAAATTCTAATAAATTTGTGCTCCAAGATTAATTTTCAAAACATGAAAGGTCGAGAATAATATTTTGATTTCTGAAAGAATAGGAGAATTTTTGCAACGAACAGTAAAGTTTAAGGATGTCTTTTGTAATTTAGTCAAAAATAAAACTACGGAAGATACAAGGCAAAAGGCAAGAGATTCAACCATCGGATCGGTTGGGCATGGCTAGGCTACCAGCACCAAGTCCACCAAACATGTTCATCAACATCTCCAACCCCGCATTGTTCGCAGCTCCTATCATTAAGAGAATAGTATTAAACCAAAACAAGAACGCTAGTTTGTTCACCCACCCCCCACAAATAAAGAGACACAATGCCTACTTAGAGGTTCATCATTATGTGCATCGTGGTAAGAGTAACTCAAATTAAACTAAATAAATAAAATATATATATATATACATATATATATCTTCCACTAGTACACCACTGTTGTCTCCAAGTCACCCCTAAACATCAAAAGCCACCAATCAATTTGTGTTTCACGTGATGAAGCTTCTGGCGTGTATATATATCAGATTCATCGCTTAAAGAGAGACTTAAAATTTTGAGCAATTCAGCATATTCAAAACGTACTATGAAGAATACACAGAATAATCCTCATAAACTGCCTATCGTAATGGTATTACAACATCAATACTTGTAAACCTATTTATAGAGTAGATTACCTGTGCTTCCACCGGTCTGACCTTGGTTTCTACAAAAAGAAAGAATAAGAAGATAAGTATTTGCAAGAACTATGGACAAATAAAAAAACAGTTAAGTGTACCAAATATCAGAGATTCCAAGAATCCAATCATTATACAGGATAATACCATACGATAATTCCAGTCAGGAAAGCTAATGAAATGAACATCAATTGAGCAAAGAAATTCTTTCAAATTGGTGAAGTTTCCAAATCCGAGAGCAACTTATTGTGGTTATCATCCTCTTTATGAATAAAGGGGAGTTTGAGGTACTGCAGTCAGAGTTCAATAAGCAATCAATTATATTGCCAAACAGATTCTCATGTTCATGCCTGATCACTTGCTATGCATACATATATGAGCTATATCAATAAGCAAGTTCTGCAAATTATAGAATGTTATGACCTACAAAGATTTTATACTGATGATTAAACAGAAATAGCTGATCAAAACTATAACGGCCTAGATCCACCGCTAGCAGATATTGTCCTCTTTGGGCTTTCCTTTTTGGGCTTCCCCTCAAGGCTTTAAACCGCATTTGCTAAGGGAAGGTTTTCACACCCTTATAAATGGTGGTTTGCTCTCCTCCCCAACCAATGTGAGACATCACAAAAATGCATCGAAGATAGTGTTTAGGTTTGCGGGATATCTCACCTCCCCTTTTTTGTAAACCTCCCTTTAATAATGAAAGGTATGTTTCTTATCACCAAAAATAAGGAAGAAAAAGCAATCAAAGGAAGTGGCTCAACCCAGGCCAACTAGCATACAATAGAAAAGTCAGCTATCGGGGCAAAAAACAAGTGTTTGTGAAGTCATGCTGGATGGTAAGACATATTTTCAAAATGTTCTTAACCTTCGTTGAAGGATTCTCAAGAATGAGATTCTTAGCTATAGAACCTACTAGTTAAGCTTATAGCACCTTTGGATAGAAGTTTCACGATAAACTACAAATTTCCAAAGAAATGTATTACTTTTATGTAGTTCTTTTGAAGAAAACAGAAATTTTCATGGATTAAATGAAACATTACATATAGAAAAATGAAAGATCCTCAATACCACTAAATTCATGAAGCAAAATCCTATCAACTAGTCAACTTCATGACCTAATAAAACAGCCCACGACATCACTAACAAAAGACTGACCAAAAGCTAATACAAACCTCTACGACTACATCACCAAAGAAATACAAAACTCTTATTTTAAACACAATTACTGGTTTTTTCCTTCTTATGACAATTGATTAAATCTAATTATTTGGCAGTCATAGCAAGTGGATTTTAAGATAAAAAGGGTCAATTATTAACAAAAAATAATGATAGTTAAAGAAAAGAATCGGGGAGATCAAATAATAAGCTTTTCAAAATCATTATTATTTGTCTTCTTTTGTTACGTGTACAAAAGTCACTTAAAGGAAAATCCAATTCATGTTGTTAAAGGAAAATCTGATTCATATATAGTTTCCCTATGATTGAAGAAATTTTTTTGACTCACCAAGTCCTTGTGTGAGTTACCGTTGTTTCATTAAAGAACAATACATAGAAAACAAGAAAAGCTTAAACTCTTCTAACAAAATTTTCCAAGGCTTTACTAATTATAAACGATCCTGATTTGAATCTACTGCATATTTTTTGACACTTTCCAAATGTGAAACAACCAGTTCAATCATGAAGGCTGCATTACTATCAAGCATTAACCACTGTGGCTATCGTTTTTTCTGGTATTCTTAGAAGGTGAATTGGAATGTTATCACTTATCACGACACAGACTAACAAGAATTGAAAATTCCTTTCACATTCTTGTAGCATTCACACTGAGTTATTTAGATGGTTCAACTATCAAAAAAAAACTATTTTAAGAATAGGATTTAAATTCTTATTAATAATTAATGTTTTTAGACTATCATCACCAAATATGCAATGTAATCAACCAATTAAATCCGCTCACCTGGAAAAAATCTAACAATTAAAAAAGTTCATCTAAATTGTTAAGACCATTTTAAAAAGACGACAAAGAGGTCAAAATTCATAACAAGATTTTCATATAAGAATTCTTTCCCAGTAGACCCAATCTACATTTCCGTGTACAAATGAAAAAATTACTGCAACTTTTTTTTCAACGTTTATTTTATAATAAACAAGAAAACTTCCGTTTGAACCATAAAAAGTACTGAAAGGGGACCAATAACCTAGCAAGCACCCTTGAAGTGGCGTTGATGTTCATTTTAGTTCAGCATTAAAACTTTTAAATGCATCTTGAAGAAGGCATGTTTGGCCCATCACAAGGACTATAATTACAATAGAAGATATGCTTATAAAGAATAACTAAGAACTTGATTCAACTCAATTAAGCAGAGGACATATCAATCATCAATATCAACATAACTCCATGCCTAGCAAAAATATTAGGATAAAACCTAGGTCCTGGCAAGGCTGCTTAAACAATCTACAAATGAGGTTTTTTACTAGATTACTTACAGGGTGGGCTGGCGACCAAGCTGTGACAGAAGTTGTTGCTGCAACGTAAACATTTGCTGCAAAAAGACCCGGGAGAAAGAAAATAAATCAGAAAATCCATGTACGGAATATTGAGGTTATAGGAATCAAAGGATGAGGTTGGATTGAGGGAATATAAATAGACAGAGGATATTGAAATGGCATCACAAGAATCTATTCCATTTACCTGCATTGTCTCGGGGGAGGTCAACTGACGTAGAAATTCAGGATTCTGCATCATCTCTCTGAGCTGAGGATTGGAATCTAGCAAGCCGCGCAATTGAGGGTTGAGACCAAGAATCTGACGGGAGATATTGTAAGAAAACATAGAATATCCACATCATCTTTAAATTCTAATGAAATACCAAATGAGTACCTGGTTCACATATTGAGGGTTTGACATAACACTTTGCATCATCTGTGAAATAGCTGGGTTTTGCATCAACTGATTCAAACCAGTGGCATCTGGTGTTGCACCCAACATGCCCTCAAGATTTGGAAGGCCAAGCCCAGCTAAACCAGTGGGAGCTTGAGCACTAACATTTGGAGTGGGATTCGACCTTGTAGAGTTAGTTTGGGTACCGCCAGCTGCTGAATAACTGCTGTTAAAAATCTTCATGCTCTAGAACTAAGATATGGAAGAAAATTTGATACATGGAAAACTTAGATTCTAAAGCAGTTAGCGAAGTGTCAGAAAAATTCGCAGCAATCTCACAAGAATGTGGAACAATGGCAATAACTGAAATTCATAGTAATAAAAACGTATTGGAAATATGATATAAACTAAATCCAAATAAAGTAGTGCTTACTGCTAGCAGGGGACCATGGGTTTGGAAGTGGGTTTGTATTTGGAGAAGGAGAACCATTAGTCGTATCATTAGTAGTAGTAGATAAATTGGATGTTGCATTATTGGTCACACCCCCACCCGTCCCCAAAAGTGCGGCGAAGGGGTTTGAGCCATCATTTCCAGCAGTTCCAGACATAGTTGTTGCGTTTAGAAATGGCTCTTGAACAGTTTCATACATGCGCCTAAGCATATTAAAACCTTCAGGGGAAGACTCAATGTTGCTCATTGCTCTATCAGTATTCCGCATCATCTCCCGCATAAGCTCGGGATTTCTTGCAGTTTCAAGTGTCTGCCGAAGAGTACTGGGATCATTGAGAATGTGTGCGAGCTCAGGATTACGATCCATTATCTCACGCATTTGAGGATTGTTCATGATCAAGTTCCTCATGATATCTGGATTATTCATGATGTTTTGTATGGCAGGCATGTTCATTATTTCTCTCATTATGTTTGGATCGCGGGTCAGCTGCTGCTGCACCTGTTCAAAATCGGGAAGGCCAGCCCCAAACAAGCCACCAGTGGCACCAAGCCCATCGAAACCAAGTTCAGGAAATAGGGAAGCTTCCAAACCAAGTCCTGCCCCGAGAGCTCCACCTTCATTTGGTCCAACACTTCTTGCGTTACTCGAAGAAGTGTTCGGACCGCCAGCATTGGGCGCAGTAGCAGGATTGGTCGGCGGGGCAGCAGGTGCCGATCCACGAACCAAATGAACGGTGTGATCTGCCTCTAACCCTAACAGAAAGAACATCATACGAACAATTACGAAGGAGAAAGAAGGGACTTCGAACAACACATCAAGAACCTGACATCCCGATAATGAGAGAACAATTTTTAAAATAAAAATCAATGCAAACAACAACAAAATCAGAAAGAAAGTGAAAAAAAGAGAAAGAATGAGAGGCCAGATTTGTGAAGCATCCAGAATTCAATGCAGAAAACAAAGAACTAATCCAATAGAAACACACCGTAGCTTTGTAGGGTTTGATCGTCTTTCAAAATCCGACCCTTGTAAATGAGGCGCTGCTGATCGGGCGGAACCTCGCTCTGTTCGGCAAGAATCGATTTAAAGGATCCAACGGTAGAATCAAGGTTAACAAGAACAGAAAACTTGGAACCATTGGAGCATCGAATGTTGACGTTGACTTTGATTCCATCGATAGAGGTCGTATAGGGAGCAGCGGACACAGCTCCATCGCCAACAGCCATGGTGTTATCCCTCCCGGGCGCGGGAGGTTGGTCACCGGCGGAAGTGAAAGAGGAATGAGTGGAAATTAGAAACCCTAGCTCCAAAATCTACGTTGAATTGATGGCAGCAGCTGATCTCTCAATCGTGGAACGGAACCAATTGCCACCAAACTCAAATCTTTTGGTCACATTAATAATTTCAAGAAACCCAACAAAAAAAATATATATATATTTCTTTGTTTTGAGAAAAAATTAAAGAAAATTTGACCAACGGTTTCTCTCCCATAATAATAATAATAATAATAATAATAATAATAATAATAATAGAATTATGCATCAAATTTACTAATTATATCACCAACTTTTGTAACTCTATATAAATAATTTCATCAAAATTATTAACCTATGTTTTGTATAAAATTATTAGATTAAGAAATATTTAATTTATTTTCTAAATTTATTAATTAAGAATATTAATATTATACATATGTGACTTCTTCTCCTTCGGAGACATGAACTCTTACCTTCTCACTGTGGGTGTACATGGGTCCAATTGAGGAAATTTTTTTGGATCAACCTTACCAATCCAACCACCCAAACCAAGTTCGGTTGTTCGAAAAAAATTAATATTTTAATTACCATTATTAAAAAATGTATTTAAAAATGAGTAAAATAGATTAATAAAGAAAATCTTTCGTAATCCAACTATTTAAATGACATTTAAGTAAACAACAAATGAATTACAATTATTTATTTTTTTTTAATCAAGAAAAAATGTATAAAATAACTTATTTTATTTTAGAATAATAAAACAATTTGTTTTTTTTGGAAGATCTCGCTATTAAAAGAAAAATATGTATTTAATTTTTTGAAGATAAGGTTTACATTTCAAAGTTGATCGCTTCTTTTTGTCCCACTCGCGTGGGCCCCACCGCCCACAGATCAGCTTAATTAATTATTGAGACTTTAAACTTTTTAATTAAAATTTCAATTTAGTCCTTCTAATTGGTTTAATTATAATTTAGCCCTCAAAACTTCACTTTTACTTCATTGTTGTGTTAATTAAAAATATATTCCTGACTAAATTGAAACCTTAATTTAAATCTTATTTTCATTATTTAATATTTATGGTCTTATTTTTTATTGAGAAATATCTGTTTTTAATCTGATTATTTATTATAGATGTGGGGGTTTTTTTTTTTTATTTCCACGTAATTTGGGCTAAGAATGACAGCTCATCTCCTAATTTATTTATCCAATAAGGAGGTTGTTATCAAATGACAACCATAATATTTATTTATAAAAGAATAGTCCATAAAATTAAAATAAAATGAAATTTCTATATTCATAAAAGAATTTTTTATAATTTAATAAAAAAACATTAGTTTAATATATTGTTAATGTGATTATTTATTTTAAATTTTATGTTTAATAGGTTGAAATATATTTTTTTGAAAAAATAATTAATTTTATATTTAATAAATTAAAGATTAAATTTATAATTTAAATACGTATGAGATATAAATTTGATGATTTACGAAACCATCCTTAACGTCAAGGGCTTATTAAAGACGTAGGGGTAAAGGTGTAATTTGGATGAAAGACGTAGGGGTAAAGGTGTAATTTGAGCATTTTAACTGAGCGAAAAGAAAGAGTAACTTAGAGCGAAATTTATGAGGGGGGAGAGAGGTTGGATCTAGGGAGGGAAAGATGCTGCCGAATATTCTTGTGTGACAAAAATCTTTGCCCCCACGTCCGCGCCATTCGCCTCTTCCGCCCAATGATCTGGAGTCCCTTTTAATCCTCTCCCGATCATCTTTATTTCTTCATTTATTTTCCAAATCTCATCCTCCAATTCCGTTCTCCACCAAAATCCCTTCACTCCCTCCTTATCCCTAACCATCCTCTCAACGCTACTCGCTTTTTCCTTCTGATTCTACTTGGAATTCTTCTCATATGGCCGCTCAGGTTCAGCCTCCTCCGCCGGAGCAAAACCAACTCGAAAACCTCGACGTCTTCAAGATTAAAGGCAGAGACAAACAAGGCCGCCGGATTCTCCGCATTACCGGAAAGTTCTTTCCAGGTTCCCTCTCTCTCTCTCTCTTTCTCTCATTCTTTATCGGTGAAATTAATTTTTTGTCGTTTCTTTTGACCATTGAGTTTGAATGTGCTCAAGAAACATCTGTATGTTTTCCTTACCATGATCTGTTTCTGTTTTCTTGCTCTTTTCATAGATGAAATTAAATTTCTCTCGTTGTCATCCGCGCGAACTGTACATTTGAATGTGCTCAAGAAGAATATGAAATTTTCCTTAATTTGCTCTGATTCGATTTTCTTGCTCTGGTCTGCTTTTTTTTTTTTTTTAAATTGAATTTTCACAGTGAAGCATATATAGATTTGCCTTGCTATGCTCTGATTCGGTTTTCTTGCTCTGTTCTGTTTCTGTTTTCTTGTTCTTGACTGTGCTTAAGAAGTATCTGCATATTTGCACTGCTGTGCTCTGATTAAATTTCTAGCTGTTTTGAGCGATGAGATTGATGTTTTCTTTTTTTGAAAATCAGCACGGATTGTGAGTTTGGATGTGGTGAAGAAGCATCTGGAGGAGAAGATCTTCCCTAGGCTTAAGAACAAGCGTTTTACGATCTTGTACTTTCACACCGACGTTCAAAGGAGCCAAAATTTCCCCGGAATCGCCGCCCTCCGATCAATCTATGAAGCAATTCCGGCCACCGTCAAGGCTAATCTCGAGGCCGTGTACTTCGTTCACCCAGACCTCCAGGCCAGGCTCTTCCTCGCCACACTCGGCCGCATTTTCTTCACTAGCGAGTATATTTTCTAACCCTTCTTCTTCAATCAATTTCAGGTTTTCCCTATATTCTTATTCCCAATATTTTCCTTTTTGAATCCTAGAAAATAATGTAATTTTTATGAATTTTTCTGTATTTTTCTAAATTAAGAAAAACACTGATAATATACTATAAAAGCACTTTTTAATTTATTTCAAATATCTTAATTTATTAGATCCAATAACAAATATACTCTGAATTTTGAATTTAGTTTTATTGTGGTCCTCCATCTTTTTTTTTTTTTTTTCTAATATGTAATTGCATTTTTAAAATTTATAAATGTATTAGAAATAAAATTGAAAAGTTTAATTAAATATTTACCTTTTTTTTTTAATGCACTCAAAGACATTATTTTATACACCTTACCCAATAAAGGGATAATGATAAAAAATAAAATTAAAATATTAAAAAGGAAAAGTAGGAATAATTTTATGATGTTTTGTTGATAATATTACGTTATGGTTCATAATGAGAGGGAATGTTTGGATGTGGTAGGATGTATGGGAAGATAAAGTACGTGAGTAGAATTGATCTGCTGTGGGAGCACGTACGGAGGAACGAGATCGAGGTTCCAGAGTTCATATACGATCACGATGAAGATCTTGAGTACCGTCCGATGATGGACTATGGTCTGGAGAGTGACCATCCTAGGGTTTACGGTGCACCCTCAATTGATTCGCACGTGTACTCGATGAGGTGCATTTCCTAGATTCCTTTCTTCTTTGTTTTAAAGAAAGGGTGGCCTTTGTTTAAATGAGTTTGTGTTTGGATCTTGTTTAGCCCACATTCTTTTTTCATTTTGGATGCCCAAGACCAAGACATGCTTGTTTATATTTGCTTTTTTTTCCTTTTCTTTTATTTTCTCTTGAAAAATGTGGTTGTATTAGAAAAAAAAAACCCTGGTGCTTAACTGTATATATTCCTTTTTGATATTTATTATGTTTTTTAATCCACATTTTTATTTTAAAACCTATAATAAAAGTTTGCATAATCGGATCCAACCTAGTTACATTTCAAGACCTCCGTTCAAAAGGCAAAACAAATTTATCTACCCAACTTATAAATGCAAGACAATAAATTTGCAATGGTTCCTATATTATAAGAACAGTCATGGATGAGTTTAAGATACACTTTTAATGACCATTTAGTCCCTAAAACTAGGTGGAGCGTTACCAAGATGCTCTTAAAAGGAAGTAACTTAAGTGATATTTAAGCCCAAAATGAATACAAACACGACAATCACGCAGTATTTTAAAAAGAATATATGAATACAATTATTACGATTTTGATTTGTGACAAACGTTCGAAATTGCTAGCCTAATTATCAATAAGTAAATCTTTCGAGTTTCACTGTCAAAAGTAGGTACTAGAAATTAATTTTGGAAAACAATTTATTTTTATGTTTATTTTTTTAGTTTTGGAAAACAAATTAATTTTGAAATTATATTAAAAATAAAAATTAGGGATAATTAGAAAAAAGTATTTACTTAGAATAATGGATATAGTACAAAAAACCAAAATCCAATGACCGGGCTACCCTTCAAAATTTGGATGCCTTCGGAACCTTGGAAGAGGGGTAAAATTGAAAATTCCTCTTATTGAGAAATCAAATTCAAGAGACATGCTCTGGCTCTGATCATCTGCCGGAAAATCCCTTTCAATCCGTTCTCAAACCCTTCCATGCCCATTTCTAATCCCTCTAAGCTTCTTCGCGCCGATTGCAGATTATCGGCGTCGACGCCATTTCCGAGAGTGTCTATTGCGGCATCCACATCGTCCAATTCATTGCTGATTTGGTTGTTTTCTTCGCTCGCTACCGTTCCCCTTCGCATCAGAACTTTCGAGACTAATGCCCACCGGTTTGGCTTCGATTTGGCTGATTGAATCGCGACGAACGACAAGAGGGATGCGAAGATGGAAATGGTAACGAAACAGGATTCTTTTAGAGCTCGAATCACGGCGTAGAGATGGAGATCTTGATTCATCAGCTGACTTGATCCGATTTTCTCGTCCATTTGCTTGGTTGATGATATCAATTTCAGTGCCTCCTTTTTCATCTTCTTTCTCAGGTGAGTGTAATTAGCGATGGCGTTTCTGATGCTCAAATCTCCCTTTCTTCTACGAAGGGCGGATTGCAGAGCTTGAGCTTGTTCCTGTATTTGCAATATCATCTCTCTCGTTTTGCCGCAGGTGTCTAAAAGCTTTATGAATCCTTCGACCAATTCGTCCACCCATTCCCGGTTCTGGTGGCTCGATAAAACCTGTTTGGTGGAAGCCATGTGGAGAAGCTCGTCCATACAAGCGTATAAATCGTCCAGTCCCTGCAGGCCATGGCAGATTGACTTGGAGGTTGAAGGAGACGAGTTCTCCAATGCCTTCAGCTTGCTCAGCTGCTCTTCGATTCTGAGAGTGGTGGGATGGGATCTGGAGGGTAGACTGATTGATCGTAAATGGTAACGAGCAGCCATTGTTGGTTGCTTTAGAAAGCTTAACTTTGAGAAATCTGCTGAGTTTGATGATGTTAAACTCTATGAATCTGTTTATATATGGGGGCACATTGCAGGGAAGATAAGAGGGAGGAGACAGCGAGCGTTGGTTTCAATGAATGCAACTTGGAAGCAGGGAAATGGCCGGCGGGAGTGTCCTTTTCTTGCTCTAAAAGCCGAGAAAGGTCAGCTCATTTCTTGCTTTGAATTGTCTCCTTGTTTGGAATATAAAATTCAGGCTGCACAAATCTCACGTTTAGGAGCAAGTGCAATGCATATGCTGAAGCTTTTTTTATACTAAAATGAAAAGGAAACAGAAATTTAATGTTAAATTTTGTTTTCTCTCTCTCCAATCTTGTCGTGGGGCAAAGGATTGGCACCGTGTTTCATATAGCCATGACAAGTGCTGATAGATTCTTCTTACAAATGGCATGTGGTTTTTGGTTCATTTATTTGACGAGTATGATTAGTTTGATCTAGATTATAATTATTAGTGAATTGGCAAGGACTGAAATAATTGTTCATGCAACTTAGAAGGGAAAATGAAATACTTACAAATGGAGGATCAAAATATAATATTTTTAAGCTTAAAACATCCCAATAAATATAGAAATTTGTGGTGGAAATAGGATTTCAATCATAGTTAAAGAAAAGAACACTTTTGAGTGTTGTTTGGATTTTCAAGAGTTCACCTGACATGAAATGAAAATTTGGAATTAAGTTATTTGTTAGTAAATAAAGAAGATGATTTCCCACATTGTAGATAGCTGGATACAACCAGAAGGCAATGATGTTTAATTTCTTTGCATCAGATTGCGCGAAAAAAGATGGAAGGGGAGAATCTTGGAGGCAAAAAAACAGAACATCAAAAAGGAGGCCACGTACATCGCAGAACACTGAACATGTCCATTGCAAACAAGGCTCTCATGGATCTAACATGTGATTGTACCGTTCAAAAGGTACGCATTACAGAAACAATTAACAATCCTTTTTTGAAGTAACATCAAATTAGGAGATACTTTATATATTTTCATTGAAGGAAAGGACTAAAGGAAACTCCCGAAAGACTGAGTATCAAAAAGAGTTATTATTGAGTCTAGTTGTGCCTGTGAACCGAACCATATGTTTCATTAGGTAGCCAAAAACTTTACCCCAAATTCCGGGGGATTCTTCTAAAGTCGTCCTGCACATGCCCCCTCTATCTTCCAGGATGGCTTGACATCTATCTATCAAACATCAAGATTAAAGCACTCCTAAATCCACTCTAGTCTCGACCTTTCATGTGTTGTGGTTTGGTGATTGCAATTGCTAGCGTAAGCAATGTTCAAGTGTCTGTATTACTACACGTGTGCTGTGTCGGCATCCTTGTAATTCTACTCCCCAATTACTCTCCATCTCCATCGCCCTACAAGTCTCTTCTCTTCTCGTTTACATGGGTTTTCTTTTCCAATGAAAAGGAGTATTTAATAGCTTTTGCACGGCAAGCTCCATCCACTCGATCATGTCATTAGATGATATGTTATTTCATTTCATTGATTCTATAAGAAATATTTATATTATAATTTAATCAATCCCTAGAATAATAGACCCACCTTTTTGCACACCATAAGATTGGATATATATAAGGGCTTTAGCTCGAGGGAGAAGAGGTCCTAGGTCTAGTTGTGATTGCCATTGAGCTTTTTCTCATTGGAGGAGGCGGCTATAGCTTCATTCTCATAATTAGAAAAATATAAACATTATTGAAAATTATAAGTATCAAAGGAATCATAATCTCTAAATTACTATCTACTTTTGCCTTCCGACATTTCTTACAACTTCTTACGAATCATTCTTCATTAGAAGGGCTGTTGACCTACATAGTCCAAGTTGTCCCCATATTGGATATTCAATATGTCACAATACCTTTTGTAGAAACCAATCCTATTTGCCGCTCGATCATCGGTACCATCAACACATTCACTAACATTGATTAAGTTGATGGTTAGACCATAGCCAGGCAATCTTTTAGCTGATACATCTTCATCGGATGGTACCCAATTACCCGTCATAACATCATGACACGATGGTTTGTTTCCTTGAGGAGTCATCCAAAACCACAAGGCAGTCTTGAATGATATGGTTGGATTGGTAGCCACTAGATCAGGATTGTTTATCAGGTCCACCCCTATTGCCCTTCCAGCAGCCCCATAGTTGAAGTTACTAATCAACCAAAAGCCATCTTTCAATGATACAAATCTAAATATTTGGTTAAAACTAGAATTTCATTGAACTTACTAGGTGATTTGGAAGGGACCTCGGCCATAATATTGCTTGCCAGATGCACAAGGCCAGTTGGGAGAAGGAGTACAAGAAGCATCTTTGATGGTTGAATCAATATAGCAATAGCCCCATGCATATGGCCCATCCGGTGCACTTGCCCATCCTCCTATAAAAACATTCCATTTGTTTTAACTTAACATTAACGATGAAAGCCTATTAAACACATTTAAAAATTAATAAATCAAACAAATACAAGCATATAAGTTAATCATTAAAATTAATATGTCTTAATCATGTCAGGGGTGATTTAGATTTAAGAAAGTGTTATTGTATTTTTTTAAGATTTAGAGAATTGTTTTAAGTTATAAGTTATAATTAGTTAGTATCGGTCATTATAAGACTTGTTTTTAAGACTATAAATAGTCATTAATGTTATTACTCTAGTATCACATTCTGAAATGGTAAATAATAGAATTTCTATATTAGGTTTGCAAATTCTTTTGTTTAGAACTTGCATGTTAGAGTCATCTAAATAGTATTGATCAAATCTGTGGAGTGATTTGAATCGCCTTTTCTATTCTCGATCTTGATCATCAAGGTAATTTATTTTAAAACTTTCTCTTGAGTTGATTCCATATCAAAATATTTCCACGAACAATCCGGTGAAATTTGACCAATTGAGCCAAAAACTTTGTATAATTAAGATTGTTTAACTCTGTTGTCATCAGGGATTATATGAAGATACGTTTATGAGAGCACCTAATTTAGGGTTTCGTGAGATGATTAACCTGTGGTCTCGTGAATGATTATAAGAGAAAATAGTCAGTAAATTAGAAGTGAATGATTAACCTGTGGTCTCGTGAGATGTTTGAGCGAGGAAAGCGGCGACCTCCCTCTTCCTGATGTTGAGATTCCCGGTGGTGCCAAAGCCGACGAACGCCGACGCCGCAACCGCAAAAGCCTCGTAGCTATAAAATCCATTGCTCTTGCAATTCCGGTCGTTTCGATGTTGTAGCATTTCGTCAAAATCGGAGGAGCTAATTACGCTGCCGATTTCGCCGATAGGGCTTCCAAATGTTAGATCAGAACCACATCGCCTCACAAATCCGGATCCGCAGAATCCCGACCCGGCGCTGCAGAGGCCTTTTGGACACATCGCGTTCTCTGGTTCTCCTCCACCGCCGCCGCCGCACGGCTGCGCCCATGACGTCGCCGATGCGAAGAGAACGAAGGTTAGAGCTACAAAAGAACGGTAGATTTTTCTCATCGAGCGGCGCTCCGCGATTTGTCTGTTGACTTATCCGATAACAATGATGCCGGTTTCGTTTCGAAGTAATGGGAAAAATGAAAGGAAACATTGACACGCACCGTTTGAAAAAGGTACCGATATTGAAATTTTTTAAGGAAAACATCCATTTTTACCATGAAATTGATGAAGTTTATCAACTTTTTGTCTTATTTTCCTTTTTATCTCATCCATATGAAAATTAGAAACGGATTTGAGATCGAATTTAAAGGGAAAGATGGAATAGGAAAAGAAAAATTAATGTTGTTGAGTTGAGTCTTAACTTCCTGTACGGAAAAGAGGTTAAGGTTTAGAAGAAAGAACCAAACAGTTTAGAGTCCAAGGAGCGAAACCGAATTGACTTGACTAGGTGATCTCAGCCGAAGAATACAGGATAAAGAGAGTAGTTTAGTCGAAATACCAACGAAAATTAGAAGTTAGAAAGTCTTTCAAAGTTTAAGAGATTAAAACTAATTCGTAAAGACCCACTTCTAGACATGATTAGACTCCGACACTATTATTTCAACATTCAATCAAGATAGAATTAATTAAAATATATAATACCGCTCACGATACCTTTGTCTTTCCCTTGCCCTTATGCGAAAGCCACTTACTTTGGCTACCAATTAAAACAACACAAATTCTTAATGCCTATCGAGAGATCTTTTATTCGACCTATCATCATTTCTAAAGAAATAAAGTTAGTTCATCGTGGAAATTCAAGTCATTTCCATCGACTATCCTTTCTTCTTTTATTTTTTTTCCATGTGCATTTGAATTGGTCATTTATTATTTAATCGACATCTCACATCATAATTAAATAAAATGTCGATATTTTTTTATTAAAAAAAAATAAAATTTAAAGACCAAATAAACCAAATTATCCAAACTTTTTATTCCTTCCACATTTCACATCACTTAAAATTCTTGCCCATGCCTTTGGGAAATGGAAATAAGATTTTAGAGGTACTAATTTCAACCAATGAAATTATGCCACGTGTCAATCTCTAATCACACCCCAATATGCATTATTTTAAGTGTGAAAGGAGAAGGTAGATGAGTTTTTCCTTCCAACCCATTAAATTTTCTCAGGTCTTTTGTATTTGACACAGTCGTACTTCCGTTCGGCACGTAACAAATGACTTGACTTTACTTATAAACGTGACATTTTTCAGCTTTTAAGTAAAGTTAGTCGATGGTCGAGATATACTTAACGTATAAGAAAAGAAACTAACTTATTCTTCACACTACTTAATACGTTAAATAAATTCAATATCAATACGGTAAAAGACTAGCTGGGAGTCAAGCAAAGACGATTAAGAACGAGGATATATTTAAAATATGAGAAAAGAACCATTTATTCTTCACCGTTCTTGAACTTACGTAACATTCGAAGTCAAGTCTTTGTAAACATTTATGATAGGGATAGACTTTTAACATGAAGAAAAAGAAAGGGTTGTTTTTCACACTTTTTTATTCAATCGCTTTACCTTTAGGTTCACACCAAACGATATATTATCTTTTTTCCTCTTTTTAAATTATTTATCTCAACAAAAATAAATAAACTATCTAAAATGAACTAATATATAATAAAATTTTGGTTCGTAATTAGGAACGAATGAAAAATATAATTTATTTATATGAAATTCTATTCTCAAATATCTTAAATAAAATTAATTCGAATATTATTAAAATTAAAATTATCTTAAAAATAAACTAAAATCAATAATCTAATAAATAAAAAATAAATACTTTAGGAAATTTAGGGTCTCCATAGTGATGTATATCCACATTAGTGTAAGTGACAAGATTTACACTCAAATTAATATAATGAAAAAGGTCCAAAGTCTTAGACTTTTTGACTTTTAATTTTACTTTCCAAATTATTATTATTATTATTATTATTATTAAATACCAAAATTAAAGAAAAAAAAGATCCATGGAAGATAAAATAATTTAAATATTATTATTAAAATTTATTCCTTATTATTTAAAAAAATTTCAATGATCACTATATATATATATATATAAAAGATTTCTTCTATAGAAAATATAGTGATGGCCTTATATGGAAGTATTAGAAAATTTCTCAGAAATTGACCAAATTTTAAATTATATTTTTCTTGGAAAAAAGGAAGCATTTATTGGTCATGATAATCTAAAATTCATCTAGTTTACCAAGTCATGGAGCTAGTAAACATACCTCGATTCGTATAAAATTATGTATCAACGAATTAAAAAATTGAAAAAAAAGAATCTAATTATTTTTTTAAAGTTAATTAATACGTAAATAAGTCGAAGCATCATATGGAGCAATTTTTTAAACTGAGAGACAGGCTTGGGTAGATTAGACAATAGATCTAAACTAAGCAAAGAAACAAAGAGGAAGTGAGAATCGAGGGTAGAATGAGGCTCGAAAGACTAAATAGAGAAATTGTGCAACAAGTCCTTGTTACTGATCGTGATCGAAACCCGAAGGACCAAATGATTGAACAACCGGGAGTACAAGTCCTTGCTACAGATGTTGCGAAAATCAGGGAGGGAGCGAGAATTAGGGTCGGACCGAACGTTGTAGGGCACCCAGCAACGTCAACGTCATATGGTCAATTTCCGTATTAAATGAGGAATGTAGGTATAAAATATGAACAAAAATGAGAATGGTAGGAAAAAACTCAAGTTGAGGAAATGATAATGTATTCCATCATCATCCAACTTCCCATTTTCAATTCCTTCCTTCCTCTTCTTTAATGGCGGATGACTCACAATCCTTAATCTTCCAAACAAACAAACATTATAAATTAACCCTTCTCCCCCTCCACATTCGTCCATCTTCATCTTCTTCTTCCTCTCATCTCCTCTGCTTGCTTTTAATGGACCCCTTTTTTCCCTCTCCTGCAAATTTTGTCCCCCTGTCTCCGCTCGCCTTTTTCAAGAGAGCCGCCGCCGTCTACGGCGGCCGCCCCTCGGTCATTTACGGCTCTCGCGTGTTCACTTGGTCGGAGACTTATGGCCGCTGTCTCCACCTTGCTTCCGCTTTGGTTCATCACTTCCACATCTCTCCCGGTGATGTGGTACCCTCTCTTTTTTTTCTCTGTTTCCATTTTAATTAATTATTTTTACAATTTATATAATTTTAATTATCATCTTTCAATGGAAATTAATTAAAAAAAAGTTTTAAATTATCGTTTTTCGATTCTATTCCAATATTTTAAAATTTTTAAGCTATTTTTTATTTATGATATCCTTGAAAATTAAAATAAATACTTTCGTCTAAATTTTTAAAAAATAATACTTTTTTTAGATAATATAAGAAAATGTCAATATTATAAATTTAAAATGTTATTATTGGAAATTAATTAAAAATATTTAAAATATTGATGACATTTTTTTGTTTGAATTGCAAAATAAAACGACTTTTTATTTTTATTTTTTTAGATGCTTAAAAGTTATTATTATTATATATTTTTGACTTATTAATAACTAAAGAGAATTGAAAACGTTGACTTAATTTGATTCATTCATAAAAATTATTTTAATATCAAGTGGATTTTATAAAAAAAAAAAAAAAAAAAAAAAA